AGCAACTTCTGAAGAAGAATCAAAAAGCATAGAATCTTATAATAATATTTTGCTGGTAGTTTCAACAGATGGAGCCAACAAAGTTTGCGAGGGAAATATTTTTAGTGCAATATAATATTTAATGAGAATATTTTGCTATGACTGCTTAAATATTCAGGTGAGCGATACAGGCCCTCTTGGGCCTCTTGTTTCAATTTACAGGGAGAAACATCTATGAAATAATCAACATTGACTGGTCTGTATTTTCCAGTGTTTCCAGGTCTTCACTATTTTTCAAGTTTATGGTGTTATTGCATATTGATGGTGATAGTTCTGTATTCCTAGATGTTTTCTATATAACAATATGTAAATATTTTCCAGGTCTACAAAGGTTTCTACCACCAGATACATAGGGAACCTAGAGAAGACCGAGACATTGTTCTGAGTGACATAGTCGACTGGCTGGATAAGAGGGCTTAGGAAGGCATCTTTGATTTTAAACATGGGACCAAGATGAACGGACTGGAAAAATGTGCACAAGAAAATTCCCTTTATCTAAATAAATTGGTTATATAGCTTAAACAGCATATAAGGACCGCTGTTATTCCAACATGTGTCCAAGACACAAGTTTATATAACCAGAAGGGAATAAAAAGCCAAAAAATTATACGATTTAAAAAAAAATGTTTTATTGAAAATTGTGATGTATTGGAAGATAGACCTGAGTTAGGTCATTTTTGTTTGCATTTAGTTTAACTGTGGTATTATACGGTATTGTTTGTTTAGCTCTTTGCTTTCTCACTCCGAGTTATGTCCCTTTGACCAAACCACACTCAAGACTCTGTGTCGTTTTAGAAGCTACTTGTGTTACAGTTTTGTTATACATTGTATCTTTTTTTCGCTTTATTTGAATCAACCAACGCAGGGACAATTTGAATCTTTTTATTTAAATCTTCAGATCAAAATTTGTAGTTACAGTGTGTTTTATTAATTTGATATCTATTTAACAAAGAAAGACGAATGACAAAGTAACAATGTCCTGTCTGGGCCTTAACCTTGTACTTTGTAGCACCAAAAGATTATTTATTCCAACCACTAAAACACCCCCACCTCTGGTATACAGTACTATAAAGTCACAAAACCATTATATTGTCAATCTAATTATCACTTCAGACAGCACTGTTTTAAGACACATCCTTAATTTGATGATTTAATCTAATTAAATGATTCAATAATTTGTTAAAATTTTCTGAATTAACTCTTCCTTTCAAATTTTGTGTAAAGATCAAATTATATGTTGACACAGTTGGTTAGGTTGTATAAAGACCTTTAAGGGGAAAACCCCCAGTTTTGCTGGCATACTGTATCAGGTAGCATACTAAAAGTGTTACCACACAGAACATAAAATATATAATGTGAAATAGAGGTTTCAAAAACGTATTTGATAATTTTCTTAAAAAAAAAAATCAATCATGTACTCTTGAAATCACATTTGCATATTGTAACTTCAACGTGTGGTAGTGTTAAGACATTACTGCTGTTAATTTTGGGTTTTTTAACTACACTAAGTGATTAATTATCATGTATTTGGAAATCCAAACAGTGGTGTTGCATGCAAGGAGTTAACAGCACTGTTTTCATGTGTTTTAGTCTTAAACAACCAACATTTTATTGGTACATTTTGTACCGAGTACTGGTACACTTTGTAAATATTTTTATTCAGATTGTGATGTTAATTGTATTTTAATACCTCTGTATGGATGTATTTTGATGTATTATAGTCTCTTTCTGGTGGCAAGTTAATTTTACAGCATAAATACCTTTTTAGTTTAAATAGTTGCCTACCAAAAAAAGGGTGGAATGTATCGCATTTTGATGTGTTTAAAATGGCAGTATATGTGTCTTGTGATATTTTTTGTGATATGCTTTAATAGCAGTCATTTGGCATTTCAATACTCAAAACTGCTATATTAATAAAAGATATAGATTTTGGGATCAGCAGCATGAAAGTTTTGGCCTTTTTTGTAAGACAAAATTATGACGATGAAGAATTTAGTATAATTAAGCTCTTTTATGAAAACATTTTTTTATACAAAAAAAGTTCTTTGGTTTTTAAAAACAATGTTTGCTGAGAATATCAGTATATTGGTTTTAAAAAAAAAACTTTGCTCAGAATATCAATATATGTATTTAAATATAATCTGTATATTTGTTTTATAGCTATTTATTGAACTTGATATTGGAATTTTGATGTAGCAGTCTGGACTATTATATTGTCATATTTTTAATGAATATACCAGGCAACTATACAATTACCCGGTTTGTCGACACATATCCATTTAAAAAAAAAAAAGAAGTTTTATTTGAATGTCATCTTCATGGATTAGTTTTAATTTGGTTTTATTAATTTTGACGTTTTTCAACAGATAAGGTCATTTAAAGTCGTCATCTTTATGGACAAAAACAAAACTCCATAATTTAATTCCACATTAAGTCATGTCATGTTGTGTGCAATCGTATTGTTATTTTAGTGAAAATTATTTTCAAGCTCCCCATTATTAGATGAAAAAAGTAGATCTTCTATTAAATACACTACATATGATTTTGAGAACAACCCCCTCTGAACATCGGATATCAAAAGAACCTGAAACATTTTTAACTCATTATTTTTGGCTGTTAACGCCTGAACATTAACTTTCAAGTACAAACAGTAATAAGAATTATCATTGATAAGACTTTTTTTTTACTCTGTAAGACCTTTGCACATTAAATCATTAGTGGACTTTGTGCTTTTGAACCCCATTGACTTTATATTAACAATGCCCCATTTTCATGGTAGAGACAAACTGGACTAGTGTGACCTGATTATAAAAAGAACCTGATGAACAAAATGCACTTAAGAAGAACTCCTAGTTTTTAACAGGTTTTCTCTCTGTTCTGATATTTGATATAGAATTTTTTATCTCTTTTATGTACATTATCCTATGCATGTTGAACATTTCATTTACATATTCATTGTCATTGTGTTCAGTATATCTTTCTTTTGCCATAAATGTACTTTTATACTTTTTTTTAAAAATATGTTAATTTCTTATACCTGAATTATTATTTTTTTGGAAATGTTTTAAATGTATACGTGGATGATAACTTTTAAAAGAACCAAAATAATTCCACCGCTGAAATTATAAAGAACAAATGTCTGTCATATAGTATACAAAAATTGTAATTGATAACAATTTTTTTTATTTTGCCATTTTTTTGGCATTATAGATTTAATCAATGCCAATTTGACATCTGGAAAACTATGGGTGTCAATTTGCTTAGCTGTTCCATGATTAGTCCAATAAAACTTTACTGTACATCTAATCAACACTAAATGTGGGAAATTAGAGAAAACAGATACAATTCAGTTTAAAAGACTTTCAAAAAAAGGAAGATGTCATGTATGTTTTTTAAAATAACAATGAATTCTGGAAGGAAAGTTTTAAAAAAATGTTATTTTTTAACAAAACAAAAGATTTTGAGAAATTGAAATCAAAAAATAGTTTTTTGTTGTTTTTTTCTGGCCAGAGAGATCGAAGATTTTTGTTTAAATAATCTTCATTTGCTCAATCGGTATCGTGATTATTTTATTTTGTGCCATATCATGTTACATCTCAGGAAATGAAATTATGTTATTATTATTGAAGTTTTCATGATAATTATTAATTGGTACATTTTTATTTTTCTGATTCTTGTTCTACTGATTTGCTAAGACATTTACAGTTAGAATTCTACAAGGAAAACAGGAAGGTGATATTTTCCTTCATGTATTTACGGTTTATGTGTGTTTATTTTCATTTTTAATTTGAATTCATTCTGATATATTTACTTATGTGTCGCATTTCACGAAATGAATCCGCCGTATGAAATTAGTGTTTTAAACTTTTCAGTTCTGTAGTTACCTATACTAACCACAGGGTTTAGAAATTACAACATTTTAAATTCGATGTGAAACTTGACCTTTTACTTAACATAATTTCAACTACAGCTTTTAATTAATCCCTTTAATTAATTTACCTAATTACTTTTCAGGCACGATTTTACAATGTATATTGTAAATATGCCAATTACACAATGATTTTGAAGTCATGCCAGGATGATTGCACTTCATGGAATAAGTGTTTAACCCCAGAGAAATTCCTACCAACAGAACAATTTTTGAAACGTTCTTGAATATTGTCATTCAATTGATATATGCATTTTATTATGCTTTATGTAAAATGACCTCTGAAATTCAGGATGGTAAATAGACATTTCCTAGGTTGTGGTTGAAATATAATGCTTGCATACACTTGAAGGTAAATTTTTGTTTACTGAAATCTGTTGTTTCAGAAATCAGAAATTTGAAAATAGTATTTTAATTCCTTTCCAAAATATTGATTCTGCACAAAAAATGGCTTTATTAGACCAAAATCATTATGCTTTTAATTTTCATGTATTTATTACAGCTATGATAACAAAGCAAGATTTTTGTGATAAAAAAATGTTTAATTTAATTTATTTATTTATTTTGAAAAGGTCATAATAAATTTACCGGTTCATTATTTTATTTGCGAATCAGATATGGCATAATTTTATAAATCCCAATGATCAAAATAGTTTATTATGGTGAGGATTTCAGTACATGTTTTTTAAGACATTGACCTGCATGTATATGATTTATCACTAGAGAATAATAATACATTTTGGTTAACATACTTCTCAGAGAAATGTTGAAATCTTGTGTAAGATTTTCTATTTTCTAAATTCAAAAAAAGAAATAACCATAGAAATTCAGTAATATCATCACTAAACCATAAAATCATGGGACGTCATAAAGCATATTATACACTAATACTTGATTATGTTATATATCTGCGTCATTTTAGCATTTCATCTACATATAATTATACATAATATATAATTTGAATTGAGAAATACATAATGTGTTCAGTATTCAGGTACAATTAACTGTTTAACAGAAAAAAAAAAAGTACTTCTGGATTTTTTTACTTCTGGATTTTTTTACTTAATGTTTAACAGCAATATGAATGTACAAATATGATTAATCAGATAGTATTTTGATAATCTATTTATTGTTGTGTTATCTTGCATTAAATGTACTGTATTTTAATCTTTTATCAACTTCCAAAATTTACGCTTGCCATAATGTTATAAAATGTAACCTATGAATACCAGTAAAGTTGTTTGGCAAATTTTATTTTGTTTGGTTTGGATTTGTTTTTGTATTAAACATGGATTTACCTGATTATATGATGATGTTTGTTTAAATAAATGACCTCGACTTATTCATGGTTGCGGAAACTTCTCAGGATCCGTAAGGCCTACAATAATGATTATTCTTAGTTTGCTGGAATGCATCGCTGTCAAAAGTCATTGAGGTGCATGAATGGCATGATTCACCCATATTTTAAGTCCTATAACAACTTATAAACCATATGAAGGCCTACACAAAAATGTGAACTTGAGGACTGGGTGTTTCTAAAAATGACGTGACTCCTAACAAACGCGTCGTCCCGCTTCCGTTGATTTTTGCTGTGATTTTTTTTCAGATTGCTAACATTACTGTTTTGAAAATAATAAAACAATTGTAGCCTTTGACTTCGGTCGATACCCCTGGATTTACCTGGATTTATCGACCCAAGAAAAGATATATTGACCTTGGACTGCGTCCTCTGTTAATATATCTTTTTTCGGGTCGATAAATCCAGGTATCGACCTCAGCCAAAGGCTATAATTGAATAATGTCACAGAGGTGAAATAGGTTAAATTATTGAAACATCTTCCAATAAAAACCGGTAGATGTCAATATAAAGATTAATTTCTGATGTAATTGACTTAATTTTCTTACCATGTCAAGGAAGATTTACAGTATGTATAAATAAATAAAGAGGGCTTAATAACCATCGACTGTAGGATACCTGTTTGTAGAGATACTGGTGGACAAAAGTATTTCTATTCGCTATTTATTTCCCTTTATTTCGGACAATCGCCAATAGGAGGCGCCTTTTCAAAATGGCGACGTGTTAAGTGTTGTTGTCAAATTCAGAATATTGTTTTTGCAAATACGGCCGTTGCAATTGTCAAAATGGCAGAGAAGCCGCCCAAAGAACAGGACATTCTTCAACTTTTCAAATCAAAGGTGATCATGTCATGTATCATAATGTAAAACGTATGATCCCATCATTTAATCGTACCAGAGACGTATAATACATAATGTATTATACCAGTTATACGTCTCTGATCGTACGAGTGATGTAGCTAGGTACTAACACAGGTTCTCGTTTAGATCACAGTTGCTGGACACACTGTTACTATCTAATGGACTATTTTATAGTATATGTACAGACTATCAGGGTGTCAAATACCTGTGGTTTCGATCAATAATAAAAAAAGGTTGTCGCACGAAACGTCTGCTGGATAACCGAAATACTCGGTAGTGAAGCGGACGTAAAACCTATCCATCAATTGTCGTACTATACCATAGCCAGGTCCAGTATACTCTGCCGATTGAGCTACGATATAGCTATAAAGACCTAGCTATATACACCTATACATTATAGCTGTATTGAGGTATATTTTCTCAGATTTCAATTTTCATTAAATTAAAGCAAAGTCGCATAAAACAATAAGGTTTATGGTAATGTTGACTACAAAAAGCATACAGTTAGATGTTTATTTTCATTTTTCATAAATGTTAAATTTCCGATTTTTTTAAAATCATTATTTTTAAAAAATAATACTTACATTTAATGTCTTTTGTTATCAACCTAATGATACAATCTTCTTTTAAAAGCGACTTTGTTTCGTTTTCCTTAAAAAAGAAAATCACTTGAAAATAGCTCAAAATACCTATTTCAGATAGGTCTCAATAGAGCTATTATAGGTCTTTACAGCTATATAGCTCAATCGGCAGAGTGTACTGGACCTGATAGCATATCATTTTAATTACTATCTATTGACCGTTAGGTTAATTTATCTTTGATATAATATATAATGACATAAATAGTAGATAGTATGGAATATCATATTGTTTTATTTGAAAAAAGCCATAATCATCAGTATATTGATGGAGCCTTTGTACTCTAAAGAAGAGAAGTTAAGTTAGGCTGTTTGCACTAGGCCTAATTGTTATGTAACAGGAAAGTGAATATTGTGCCTCCAACCCACAATTCCTAGGTTTCTACCCAGGCACTCTACCACAGAGCTAAAGGAAATTCCCCTTAGCTCAAAGCTAGAAGGTGACCACAGGGAAAGTGAATATTGTACATGTACATTCTTTCCACCAAGGATCAAACTCACGATCTGTTTCGATCCATGCTTCCACCAAGGATCGAACTGGCACGATCTGGTTCGATCCCTAGGTTCCTATTTGGACGCTCTACCACTGAGCTAAAGGGAAATTCATTTTAGCTTGAAGCTAGAAGGCGACCGTAATCCTATGCACATTATGCCCATTAAAATCTGCCACAGTTACATTGCATACTTTAAGTTGAAACAAGAGTGAAAAATGGTATATAAAGGTCAGGTAAATTTCAACCCAATCAGATATTTAAAAACCCCAATTGAGCATCTGTATTGAGATATCTATGTCCAAAATAACAGACTATCTGTAATCTCCGCCCCATGAAAAAAGAAAGATCATAATAATGAATAAGATAGTTATGTTGGAGTTAAAATAGGGATATATTGAATTTGAACTTAAGTTATTAAAATGTTACAGAACGAGTCCAGCTAAGTCTGTTATAACTAAATATAAGGCATTACCGTTAGGCTGATGCCTTTATAAAAATATTATCCAACACTTACATGTCTCTTGAAACCAAATTGAATGCTACAAATGTATATATATACCTAGGTCATGCAGAGCTTGAGTTCTCCCTTTACTAGCGGTTAATATAGGATTACCCAATTTGGTTACAATATATATAGATTGACATGTGGCAATGTTGATAAACTAATTTTTGAAGGCAAAAACCTTAATGCTTTGTTTCATACTAAACTAAATCATAGCTGTCAACCTTCCCTCATTTTGACCAATATTTACCAATCTCCCTCGAAATTCTCATTCAAGTCCAAACTCACACAAACTCAAAATCAACATGTTGTGGTCAAATGATCCTCTAGTTACTGCAGGATGTGTATAATGATCATAACATGTTTGTCTGAATCCAATGAATGCTTTTTCAAGTTATTTTGATAAAAAGCAGTTTCAGTCACGTTTCACGCACTTTCTCCCTCATTGGAAATGAGGAATGAGTGAGATCTCCCTCATTGGAGGTTTCAGAGCGAGGCTGACAACTATGCTGAATGAACATTTTCAGATGTTAATAATTCAAATTGAGGTTTAAAACTAGTTAAAATAAAATAAAATAACCACCCAATGAAAAGTTACACTGGAGTATGTATTGTGATTGACGCTGTTGTATGATATGTATACCCTAGCTGGTAGTATTTGAAGTCATCACCCTGCATACCACACTCAAGTATCCACTCTCTCAGGGACAGCCACACTTATCCATACAAATGTATTTATCTGCAGACTGTCATTGGCTCTTACATTTCATAGTATTGTAGATGAAGTGACGAAAGTCACTGATCATAAAATATGAAAATTATGTCTCTTTAATTATACATGTGCCATATGGTGTAGTTTCTCTTATTAAACATTAAGTATTCTTTAGTAACCAGATCCAATTTGTTTATATTTACAATAGGTTGAAGAAGCTGTTGGAATGGTGGCATTGATTCCTGAAGCCCAAAGAAGACAGCTGCATGACTTCTGGAATGTGATATCAAACACTATTAATCCATCAAATGAAAGTGATGATCTTGGTAAAAGTAAGAATGAAGCAAGTTTTAGGGCTCAAGATGAATGTGACAATAGTGACCATGGTGAAGCAAGCTATAGCATTCAAGATAAATGTCTGCCACCAGAGAACACAGATCAAGAAATTCAAGCAAATGCACAAAGCACAACAACTACTGAGGAAGGACAGCTGGTTTCTTCAGATATTCAGGACTTCCTGGACATGGTTTCGACAACAAACCATGTTAAGTTTCCGGAGCCTTTAGTGACCAGCTCATTATCGAGTCAGACTCTGTCAGAAACACAATATACCTCACCAGGTCCTACACCTTCACCTGGGCAGTTTAGAGATACTACAGATCAAGAGGAAGCTAATGCGGACCATGATATTGATGACCAGGATGTGACAATCAATGTTTTGTCCGATACTGATCACTTTGGGAATAAAGGGGACATTATTGAAATAGATGCCCATCCCGGTGCTCCTACAAAGGAAGGTTTGGTGAGCATTCTTAAAAAAGAACATATGGAAACCCCAACAGAAATTCTGTGTGAAGTAAGGGAAGATAGTCAAACTATAGAAATCCATCTTCCAGCTGATTTTTCAGAAGGAGAAATTTTAACACCGGAAAAGCTGAGTTTGTTATTGCAGGGTCAGTTTGAAAGCTGTTCACTTCTGAAAGAAGAATCTTCAGAAATCCATCTAGAACAATTTGTAGAGACCATTCCTTTAGATTCACCTGCAATAGAAAATGTTTCAAAAAAGCAAAACAAGAACCAAATACAAGGGTACCACGAACAGACAAATAGCAACAAATCTACAGACAGTGATTATAGTGAAGTGTTACATGAAATAACGGACAACCAACACCCAAAACCAGACTCTCATTTAATATCTAATCATGATGAATCATCTGTGTGTAATGGTGAAAACAAGGGGAATCATTCAATATCATCTCCAAAAAGATCAAGTAAACGCATAAAACAAAAAAAAAGTAATGTACTACTAGAGGGAGATATACTGACTCCAGATAAGATTCTAGATTATTTGTATGGAGAAGAAATTGATAAGGAAATTGAAGGTGAAGAGACAAATCATGATGATGGTGATGAACATGTAGTGAGGACCATTAGAAAAAGGAGAAGGACTCGGCAGATCAAACAAGACCTTGGCTCTGATTCTAAATCAAAATCACAACAGCGCCTTCCCAAGCGACCACGTGTTGTTAAGAATAAAACAGAAAATGGGGAGATGGCATGGGAATGCAAAACATGTGGAATCAAGTTATCAAACTCTGGGTCTCTGTTAGGTAAGACTTAACTGCTAAAAAGGCTTTCTAGGTTAACTGTTGATGGCAGTAATCAGGCTAAGATAAAGCATTATAAATAGGATCATATAGCACAACCAGTTAAATGTGTAATGTTTCGATGACTAGTATGATACATACTCTGTCACTTTCATCAGACAAATGACTGGTAAAGCGTGTGTGCACTGAAGTGTAAATAAGTATTAGTTGGCAATAAACATATTGTACATATTTTACACCTTATAAAAAAAAATCTGTGTGCATGCATGCTGTATGTCATTTGTCTGGGGGTGACAGAGTACATATCCTACTAGTCATTGAAAGGTACAGATACACATTTTACTGTCTGTACTGTATGAATCTATACACACTATCTATGAATAAAAAAACTTGGAGGAAATGCTTTGAAATAAGACTGAGCATGTTATATATTTTTATTTCATACATATAAAATTGATGTACTTTTTGTTTTTGGTTTTTTGTTTTTTGTTTTATGACATGTTAATATTAGTCAATAATTTAGTAGAAATATTGATATTTGAATGAATGAATGAATGAATGAATGTGTTTTACTTTAATATCAGAGTTAAAGTTTTGAATTTGAGATTTCATAATTCATTGTGATTAATATAACATAATTATATCTTTCTTGTAACAAGCATTTTCATTGGCTTAAAAATTTATGTTATCAGCCCATGACGTAAAATAATGACTGCGCTTTTGATTGGCTGAGACAGTGGCGTAATAATTTCTAAGAGAAAAGAGTCCATCAATAAAAGTGGATTTCCACAGGGATTGTGTATAGTAGATTAAATTATAAGGATTGACTTGAATATATTTTTTATGTTATGGAGCTATAACACAAAACACTGGAGTGTACTCTCATCATAAACCACTTCAAGGTTTATTTAGAGTACACTCCGTTTTTTTGTGTTATATCTCCATAACATTAAAATATTTTCAAGTTAATCCTTAAATAATGAATGCCACCTAAACATGTTACGAATAAAATGTTAAACTTTTTCTCTTAGTTCACCAGAGAAAGCATACTGGAGTAAGGCCGTTTTCCTGCAACGAATGTGACAAGACGTTCACAACTAAGCAAAATATGAAACGTCACCTGTTGAGCCACACAGGGGAGAAACCTTTTGCATGTGATCTGTGTGAGAAAAGTTTCACAGAGAAGAAAAGCTTGATTATTCACAAGAGGACTCACACGGGAGAGAAACCCTATGTGTAAGTTGTGTTTAGATATATATTCATGTTTTATATCGGTCCTTAAGATAGTTGAATACTTGCTATTTTATAGACACTAAAATGTTTGTATGTCAGATACTTGAAATGCACCACCGAAGAATTATTAAAGATATGTATACCAATATCAACTAAGTTGGTTGCGGGTGAGCAGATGGAAGCCATGTAACAACTTAGAGCTAATTGCTCTTTGTTTTTGTTTTTAATGATGAAGTGCACACACTGTTGATCAATTTAATCTTTATTAATGGAATTGCTTGTCATCTTTTGTGGGTTTTTTAAAATTAAAATTTCAACATTAACCTTTAAGGAGCCATGTCCCACTGCAAATATTTTCTCACTTTACCAATTTACTGCCAAATTACTTTGAGTAATGAAATTGTTTTGATTAAATATTGTTATAATGTCTGACAGTCACATTGTAGAAAGTTGATATGTGGTTTGGACTAATATTTATATAGGGTATCACACTGCAGACACACATGATGTCTTATGAATTCTGTTTAAGTTTTTGTCAAATTCTGTAGCCAAAGTTTTACATGGAGTATCACCCTGCAGACAGGTACACTGACTCATGATGTTTATGAGTTGTGTTTTATTCTCTGCCAGGTGTAAGATTTGTAGCCGAGGCTTCACACAGAGTATTACACTGCAGACACACATGATGATACACACAGGCGATAAGAAACACTTGTGTGAGCTGTGTGGAAAGTCCTTCAGACAACGTGCAAATCTCCTCTCGCACAAAAAACGTCACCTGGAACAGAAAGCTTACAACTGTCCAGACTGTAGCTTCTCGTTCTTCACTAAAGGTAAAAAATAACTCTGCACGACTGTTGTCTTGTGTTATTTTCAAAGTGAAATTCACCTGAATGAGTAAATTTGTATTAGAAATACACTTGTTATCAAAGGCATTAATAGTCATATACTTTATTTGAATATCTCACATAAGGAAAGATACAAAATACAATATGCACTAAAAATGAATTATGCATTTACTAAATTTTTCGATAAATTGAAATTAAATGTACACACAAACTTGTACTGTTTTCAGTTTAAAAATGGTTCTTTCTAGGTGATACTTAAGAACATAGTATTATGCTACATGTTTGCTGATCTTATTTTCATTTAGGTTGTAACTTTTGATTCATAAATAATTATCATTTTTCTGTTCTAAACATCAAAATTCTTCCTTAATAGAAAAATGAGTGAGATAGCAAAAAATACATTTTTGATTATCTTCTCATTTGTAGGTGAACTAGATCGCCACATCCTGCGACATACGGGAGAAAAGCCATTCCAATGCGACATATGTCCGAAACGCTTCACTCGACAACAATACCTCAATGAGCACCTTAACATTCACATCGGCAACAAGCCTTACAGTTGTAACAAGTGTGAGGAGAAATTCCACGACCAGTCCACCTACCATCGCCACCTGAAGAAGCACAAGCCGAAAAAGGAAGAGGTAGTTAAAGACGAGGTCGAAACCTTGACGACTGCTAATAACAACACAACAACAACTTATGTGATGGAGACAAACAGTTTACTTGGTCCGGACACACTAGAACAGTTACAGGCTGTCATTAATAACGAAGTTGAGAAGATACAAAATCAATCCGGCTCCAGCCAACAGTATCAGACAGTCATCCTGAAAGGCAGTAGTGCCCAGCCAGTGGAGTCGCTGGGCGAGGTGATAAAGGGCACAGGTGACATCAAGGATAGTGCTAATGATCAGGTGTATCAGATCACCATGGTGGACCAATCACAGGAGGTGGTTGCCACTGTAGACTTCTCGGCGTTTAATCTTCTAGCTAATGCCACTGCTAAACAGTATGCTATATCATCTGAGTAGTGTAGGGGGAGACATGTTGAACTTCTCGGTAGACTTCTGACCAACACCAACGTTTTAAGTAGGCTATATTATCTAACCAGTGGTTGGGTAGAACTGGCAAAATTCAGAGCACTCAGACATCTGACCAGCTCAAGCTCTTAAAGTAGGCTAAGTCATCGAGTCATGTTGAACTTCTCGGCATTCAATTTTCAAACTAATGTGAACACCAATATATATATTCATTGTTTGGGCTAACACATCACTGCTAAAAAGTGTTTTACTAAAACTTTCAAATAACATTAAAAGTCAAGATTACTGCTGCTGTTCATATTTCTAGTAGGTACATTAAAGTTTGTTTTTTTTTTTTTTTTAAAGTTTGATACCTCAGAAAAACAATATGCTGTGTCTTTTAACTTGTTGACGTCGAGTACAAATGACATACGTATACATATACACAAGAATTTCATCAAGTTGTTATTGGTTACACTAATTCTCATAAGATATAATTGTAAACCTTTTGTTATTTGTGTAAATGTTATGAGAAATTAATGTATCAATTGCAACTTAAATAAAAGAGATTATTATACAATTGTCTTTTTAAGTTCATTTGTATCTTGAAATCAACATTGGAATTCATCTGTAAATAGCAGACTAGCTGTTCTCACTTCATCACTAACATTAATGCTCAGTCATATTTAGTGATAATTTTATTAGACTTGAAAGTGAAAAATAAAAAAACTAACTGCGTAAGTTTAGTAAAACCTTGTTATACTGCCACCATTTCTGTACAGCGAAATTTTGGTGTTTATATAAACAGGCTTGGCATTAACTGAAGGAAACATAGAAAGGAATTCTAACGATAATGAAAAAAAAAAATGAGACCTTAAACTGTGTTGGTGGTAAGTGAGATGGTAAATAGAATGTGGGGCATTACATTGGGGTTTTACTGTACTATAAAAATATTATCTAATTCAATTTATAGTGACTGTCCTGTTTCAATTATACAAAATACCAAAAGGGAACAAAAGAAAATGAAAGCATGGAGTATGTTAACAAAGAACATTATAGACTGCAGAAATTTTAAGCTACGTATTGTTTGTAAAATTTACATCACCTCTGCATTTAAGTCGGTATGCCCATTTACCGTTATGAAATTTTGAGTTGGTAGTGGTGAACATTGCAAGTGTTATTTTGCTTAGATTTAGCCAGTTTTCATGTGATAATAACAACAACTTACTGAGTGCTATGTTTTTTGTGGTGTTATACATGTGGCAATCGGATCTCCGGAAGAACGTAGAACTTTTTTCCGAATTGAAATTTTGAGTCATCCTTTCTGTTCTGTACAGTTTATGTGTGAAATTGTCATACATCAATCAAAATAACGGGAAGTTCAGGATAAAAAAACACCTTATGTTAGAGGTTCTTATAAAACATGGACATTACCTGATATTTGGGAGTTTTCCAGTAAAATAATTAACAATTCCAAATGCTCTGTCCTGGAATTTTAACTTTCATATTGCTAGATGGGGTGCCGAGATTGATTAACAAGAGTATTTTTGGATTGGCTAGCCCTATTGGCATAACCCAGTCCTAAGTGGTTATGCATGTAAGAAAAAGCAAACAGCTACCTATATTTTGTTGTTGAAGAGTTCCTCATCCACCAAAAATTCAAAAAATTGTTTAAGGTGATTTCTCAAAAATTTATGAAGAACAGTGTCCAACATCTGTTCCAAAATAAAAGATGCTTTTTGACGTCAATAACGATCTCCAAATGCCAAAACAGCTGGCTGCGTTTTAATGTTGATGTAAATTGAGGTCATATGAAAGTTTTCTGTTTCCAAAGCTAGGCTGCTCGCTGATGAATACAATATCGTTTTTGTTGCCAGGAAACCATGTACTCACTTTAACCCTTTCAACACTGTAGACCATAACCGACTCATCCAGATCAATGCATGGTAGAGTCTACTAAAGTTCATAGGGGTGAAAGGGTTAAGGTTAAGCAGTATATATCTTCATATTTCCTGCTAAAGTTGGAGAATTATTATCAAATGCAAAGAAAAAAGAAGAAAATTGAGCTGTATCTTATCAATAATGCACTATATTCTTTGTTTCAGACTAAAATAAGTAAAATTAAAACTATGACATTAAATTGAAAAATAATTTTGTGTTCAGTTATATGAACTTGTCTTTATTAGCATTTTGCCTAATCAAAAAAATGATAATTATATTTTTTTTGTTATTATTATAAACGTATTTGAGGTGTAAGTGTAGCTTGGAGAAACCTTTATTTTTGGGGTTAAAGAATCATCACAAAATCTACATTTCATTTACATGTTGAAATTAGCTCAAATAAAATTTGAATTGAAAAAGTATATGCAAGTTGTGTGAATGAGAATATCTAATATTTATGATGGTACACTTGTATTATTAAACAAATCCTATTACATAAGCGTTGAGGATTTCAGTTACTATTTAATTGTATTTCATTACATTTGTTAACTTAATTGTCGATTTTATGCAAACACTAAATATGTCATGAACAGAAGCACCAATGTGAAGGACTTTGTGTGGTGGATGGTCATAAGCATCGACCTTTAACCTTCTCAGAGCTGCCTCCACAGTGAGATTAAGGAGACAAGCTAGGGGAGAACGAGTCTGTAGGATAATTATATGTCACTGAATGCTTTTTGTAAGAGGCGACTTATGTGTAATCTTTGGTTTTCTTAACTCGAAGTTGTGGACGTCAATATTTTAGTCACAGACCACAGCGACCTGAGAATTTGTTACAGCTATATTTGGATCTAAAGTAAGGTTTCAGAATAATTTACACGTTTTAGTGGTTTAGATCGACTTTTGGTAAAAATGACAACCCCAATGATTATATATATATCATCATCGGCCCTACTTTGCCCCATATATAACAACGTGTCGTTGTCAGAAGCTACGTTGTCGCAGCTAAAGACAACCGTCTCCATATGGCCATGGCTGTAGCGAGGGCGTTTTACCCCATACAAACACAGGTGACTATTCAATCGCAGGAAATGAATGATGAACTATCCATTTCTAAAATGTTTAACACAGCGTCCTGTATCGACGGTGGAACATTTAGTTGACGTCCCTGATCGACCTGTTTCCAATAGGTTTTACAAAGATGAAAAAAAGGGGATAGTGACCTTACGGAGAAAACAGATTTAACTAATTACACTGCATAGGCTGCCTTTGAACAACATTGGCCTTTTACCAACAAATGATCTAAAATAAGTGTTGCAGTCTACCTCTTCATTCGTATTACAAAGAAATGCAGTTAAATGAAGATAATTTTAAAACAACAGACAAGAAAAACGATCAAAAGTGATCAGAGCGGAAATCAAACGGATATTGTACTTACCCACATCTCTAACCCGTTAAAGTGCTACAAACTGCAAAAGGGATCCGAGCGTAAAACGGATACTGTACTTACCCACATCTCTAACCCGTTAAAGTGCTACAAACTGCAAAAGGGATCCGAGCGTAAAACGGATATTGTACTTACCCATATATCTAACCCGTTAAAGTGCTACAAACTGCAAAAGTGATCCGAGCGTAAAACGGATATTGTACTTACCCATATATCTAACCCGTTAAAGTACTACAAACTGCTAAAGGTAACACAGGTACCTGAACTAGGGACATGTAGCGAAACTGTGGGGAAGAGGACGGATGGACTCGTCCTGTTAAGATGTCTTGTGTTAAACAAAATGAACAAGTAGTAAATAATTTCAGGACCAGTTTGTGTGTTGGACATTTAATGTTAAATCAAAACAGACCACAAATAACATTGTAAGTCTTTATTCAGAGTATACGATGATATATGATCAGAAATACAACAAAAACATATTGATATGCTTTCTATATACTTTACATGTGTGCATGTGCGGATTGATACATAAGTGTGTTTATTCTAATTGTCCGACAATAACGAAATATCTTCTCATTCTCGTATCTGATATATAAGTGGTGATTGTGACTCACAAACGTGCTAACTGTTTAAGAATTACCCTATATACTTCGGCAAAATACAATTTATAATAAGATCAGATCACATTTTACCCATTTCAAAACACTTTTTCAGTAGCCGGAATCCGTAACTACTAAACAAAACATTATTGTGTTGACTTGGGTTCATCTGTGAAATAACAAAGTTTTTGAATCGGTCTTCGGTGACGTCCATTTTAAGAGCGTATTCCTCTGGAACTTTGTCTTTCCTAACAACAAGAACAGAATTACGATTTTGGAGGGAGAAGATTTTCCCAGTGTCTGTGAAATTTAATACTATTGTGAATGTGTCATTCCCGCAGACTTCTGGCATGAATGCAGATGGCAACATGTCAAGTAAGTGTTCTACGTCAAATGTTCTCATGTGGTCGGGGGTTACAATCGCTTGCTTGGAAAGGTCGACTTGTCCCGTCGTTTCGAGGGCGGACGTCCTTAGATAGTTCATCGCGTTGGTGTTGATTTGTTGGTCGGCGATAGCGTTCAGACTGTCAACTTTCACCATTTTCGCCATCTCGTCAGTCGCGTTCAGAGCAAGTGCGTAGGAGGCTAGTTCTAGCGCCCACTGTGGATTTCCTTGGTCTATTGCTGTCCGACCAGCTGTGACAAGATTGTTACCACCGCCTGCCAAATCGGCCATGTGTTGTGCTTTTTCACTTACTGTGAGAGGGAATAGGTCCATAGGGTCACCACTAAACCAACCTAAATACATCTGGAAGACACCTTTAGCAGACCATCCTACCATGCCGTATTCCTCCTGCAAAGAAGAAACGTTGACTAAGGATGGCGGCAGTTTGACTTTGCGAACGACCTCTTCCGGTGTGAGCCCTTTGTTGATGTAACGGAGGGACTGGTCATGGACGTATTGGATGCCGTCCCGGTGAGGGACCAGGAGGTCAGTGATGGTTTGGTTTCCTATGATGGGGGACATGTGACTCGGTACGAGGTAGTTCAAGCCTAGATCGATGACGTAGTCTAGGGACCTACACCACGCCCTTGGGTCCCGGACCTTGACTCCTCGAATCGTGTAGATGTTTGGGAAAGCCTCATAGTATAGATCACCGCTCATAAACATGTTCCAGTCTGGGATGTATACACCCATGTGATCAGTGGTTTCCCCTTCAATTCTGACAAGTCGAACCTTCAATCCTGCGGAAGAAAACCATAATATGGAAACGTCAGCTTTATTTTACTATTATATGGTTGGATACAATCGAAATAAAATCTTCAGAAAGTAGAAACAGCAGTTGTCAGCTATGATGAATATGCCAACAAAGGAATCTTTGTCACCTGTGGTTTTGCTTATTGTCTCGACCGGACTTTTTATATTCTAATAACAAACTTCTTTCTGAATAGCAACCGTGAAAGCATGTCTTATTTGTTGCTGCTCACTGGATGAAAATTATACAGAGTATGGAGATAAGGAAGTCTTTTCAATATATGATAACACCTTTGTATAAAATAAACTCCTTGATATCTCAGAAATTATTCTAGGCAAACATTTCAATACGAGTTCTCCTTGTGAAATGAGAAACATTATATACTTCGTTATATGAACAGGAACTCACAATAGCTGTGTTCATACTTCGTTGTTAAATTTGTTCGCCAACTTGAAATTATGTATCTTTTACTTTCAATTAATGCTATCTGGACCAGTATTATTGAACCATACGGAATATCACCCACTGTACCTGCAATAATGGCGTCCATTTCCGTGTCATTGAGAAACTTGTTTGGGTATACGAATCCAAATGTGGCCCCAGTCTTGCCGAATTCGACCGAGTTCTGGCTGCCTTTGACGAATACTCCAAACTGGCGCATAGACCTGGCGTACCGTGCCGTGGTGGCATAGGCGAAATAGTCCTCTAGATTTCTGGCAAGGTCCTTGTAGGCCCAAATATCAGGGAGCACGGTGGAGTTCTCAACAAAGGCCTAATGTACAACCATATATGATAAAGCTCCTAACAGTTGTTGTTATATCAAGTCAATAATATATATTAAAAATAGGTTTATTAAAGAATGTCAATTTCCTCACTGAATAGTGCATTTCAAAAAACGAAACTGTCACACAACCTTAAAAAATGTTCGAAAACATCCCTGTGAAAATTGGATGAAAAGATAATTGACTAAAAAACCTAGTTCGATAGTTAAATGTTTTGCAAATTTACAATTTACCATTTTTTTCTTCTTTTTATACTTATATTTGGCTGCTAAATTAATCATAATATATTTATTTTACAGAAATAAGCCTATCGCGGATTATATCCAGAATACTAACCGAATGAAAAATTAACGCCTTCAATATGTTATCGCAATGAATTATATTTTCTGATATGGATTTAGTTTTAGACATGCTACCTACTGTTGCGCCTCCCGTGTGATCCATGTGATGATGCGTGTAGATGATGGCCTTGACCGGGGCTGAACTGATGTTCCGGAAGTCCTCGAACATCAGACTGGCCGCCTCGTGACTGTCCCCAGTATCCACGATTATCAGGCCATCAGGTGCTATAATCATGATGGAGTTCCCAAGGGAGTTCCCGCCCATAGCAACGTACACTTTATCAGTCACCTGTAATTAGGTGATTTCATTTTTCATCAGTTCCTTTTTGTCATTTGACATAAGATTGTGTCCTGCATTGATGATTTATATGCTTATTAAGGGTATTCTATCTGCAACAGCTAAGATAACACGATAACTTAGTCATCAGCGATATATGGAGAATAACACAAGACATACACAGTATATTGCATTTATAAAATTTGGTAATAAATACAGCATGCAAACAAAGAATTACGGTGAATCGATGACCTTTATTTCGAGATCTTGCGAAGAAAAAAATTACCCTTGAGAGTGATCTGTTGAGACATCACTGATAAACAGGGGCAATGCATCTAAAATGTTTCTTCCTTTACTATTTGGTAAGCACAACAATTAAAATCGAGTTGTAATTAACACTTATGCAGATTTGCACTAATTCAGTGAAGGTCTATGAAACAATGTAAAGGACGAAAAGACATAGTAAACATTGTTTTAATAGCTTTTGACGACAGTAACTCCATCATTTCTATCAATGTTTATTATGTATTCATATATTTCTACCTTGCACTTATTATACCCTACTGTATTTCGTGTATTCAGAATAAAAGCCAACAGAAAATTACAGGGACATCAACAGAAACATCTAGTAAACAAACGGAAACGGCATATATATCAACACTCGTGAACAACATGGACATCTTATGAACAACCCAGAGCCATCTCGTCGAAAGACCATACCGATGGGAAACCTGCACCAGAACGGATTGTTTGAATTCCTACTCTCCGGTAGGAACAGATCTGTAAGTGTTTCCCTCCCTACTTAACCACATATTGAAACTTTAATCGTATTCCCAAGTAAGGAAGTTTTAACATGTTATTCTCTTAATGATATGACGCGTCAGGTTTTGCAATATTTACATTTGCATTCAAAAGAAAATATTCTGATCCTTGTCAGCTATCGTTATGAAACATCTGGCCTTTAAAATGTCAAAGTTTGCGAATTTTGAATTTTTAAGAATGCGTTTAGTATACCTTACTATTGTTTTGCTTTTATAAGTTATCATGATAAAACAATACTTTTTTAATTTTCTTTTTTTCAAGAAACAAATAATGTGGTTGATGTTATGCTTTGATGAGTTATATATTTCGGACCAAGATTGGGTCTGGTCGGGATTCAAGCGCTATTCCCTACCAAATTTATTCACAAAGTTCAATTTATATAATAGTATATGTATTGGAATGCATTTTTTAAAAAAGTAATTGAATTAATTTGCGATCCTTGGCACGCTATAGCATGAACAACATAACATTATTTTTATATTTTGTTCAATGTGTTTTCTTTAAAAAAAACCTTAGCAACCGTACCTTTTCGACTCGTCTGGTTGTGTCAACAACCGCCCGCCGACTCCTTCCACGATAGCTACTCCCTGCACCAGCACACGTGATAACAAGCATCAAAAGCAGCTGTTGCGTGTGCATCTTCATCTAGAAATAAAAAACATAATTTTAAATGAACACTTAACATACACAAATAAAATAATTCGATAAGTGTAAACAGAAAGCACGTTATTAAAACATATTTGATTGAAAATACTGAAATAATAATTACATTTTTTTATAAACTTAACTTCCTATGAGAAATAGAAAAAATCTTTATGATCAGAAACATTGGAATTTAAATAAATGAATAAATAAATAAATATAAGCAAAAAACGTACCTTTATGTCGTTGTCGTGCGAACCTTCCCCCTTATATATCAGTATCTTATATGTTTAATATAAGGACCTCAACTGCTTTTATTTATATACACTTCAACTGCCTGGGAGGTTAGTTTAATTAATGGTCACTCGTCCTGGACAGGTCAAACAGTGGTCAGTTGATGTTTGTATCTCCCTTATTGTTACGAGTTCCCATCAATCACAGGCGATGTACATCGCACTTGTTGAGAGGTAAATATGACGTTGTCGGTCTTGGCTTCTGTAAGCTGACGTTGACGAAGGTCTCAAGGCCATGTATATATTATATAAAAAGGAAATCATGGTTTTCATTACAAAAATATAAATATTGCTGAATATTAAAGGTCTTCAGGATATACTTGTATACATGTTCACTGATATCTTGCATACATTATGAACGATACTGCGTTGCTGCTGAGAGAGATAACTCTTTCTGACTTACACAATATTAAGAAACCTGCCATTACGACGATACAATGCAATACTTAAGTTTATGATATTTTTGTCAATTAAACGATATCTGGTCACGTTAACGTTGGATATAATATGAAGTAAACAGTGAATTATTTAATTACGTCACTCAATGTGTGATTGTTTTGATTGAACTCAAAGTAAAATAGGTAAATAACTTAAGTTTTGACACATCAGGGAAAAAATATAATTTCAAAATCAATAATCATAGACGACAAATGAAACTGAGGAGACACCAAAACAAAGGTATCTTTTGAAACTCTCCGAATATTCTGGAAGTAGGAACGATCAATTTTGACAAATGTATTTCCCTAAGTACTTAATAATAGAAGCTAAAATAGAACGATGGTAGTTTTATGTCAATTTATTTTATTATTATCTTATAATAAGTAAACTTTGATTTGTCACTTTATCCAAGGGTGTAGCATAATTAAGGTTATCCTTCCCACTGTCAAAAACTTTGAATTTGAAACGTTTAACCGGCACGGCAATAACTTTAATAAATCGTATCTGAAAACAAAAAGGCCCAGTGGGACTGTATCGCTCACCTGAATATGTTTAAAATAATTGGTATGAAGTAGGTGCTGTAAGTACATATGAAATTTCAGAAAGATCCATCCAGTACTTGAGATATAGCGAGAACAAACTGGCATACCCACCAATTATACAAAATTGAGACCCCTTGACCCAAGGATGCTCCAGACTAAATAAGGATAAAGTCCCATAATCCCGATGGTCGAAGAAGAATTTTAAAGGTTTTACCTCTACTTCTCCTATTGGGCCCCGCCCTTCTGCCCCTTGGGAGACCACACCCACTGCATGCTTATACAAAATTGAGTCCCCTTGACCCATTGATGATCCAGATTAAATTAGGATAAAATCCATTAATCTCTATGGTAGAAGAAGGATTTAAAAGGTTTTACCTCTATTTCCCCTTTTGGGCCCCGCCTCTCTGCCTCCAGAGGGGGCAGACACACCGTTTATACAAAATTGAGTCCCTGTTGCACAAGGATGCTCCAGACTAAATAAGGATAATATCCCTTAATCCCTATGGTAGAAGAAGGATTATAAAGGTTTTACCTATATTTCCCCTATTGAGCCCGCCTCTCAGGTCCCAGGGGGGCCACACCCACCGTCTATACAAAATTGGTTCTCCTTTACCCAAGGATGCTCCACACCAAATATGAACCAAATCCTTTCATTCCTACAGACAAAGATTTTTAAAGAATAATTTGCTATGTTTCCCCTATTGGGCCCCGCCCCTCAGGCCCCTGGGGGGGGGGGGGGCACCCACGATTTATACAAAATTGGTTCCCCTTCACCCAAGGTTGCTTCAGACCAAATATGGAACAAATCCTTTCATTCCTACAGAAGAAGAGAAGGATTTTAAAGAATTTGCTATGTTTCTTCTATTGGGCCCCACCCCTCAGGCCCCTGGGGGGCCATACCTACAATTTATAGAAAATTTGTTCCCCTTCACCCAAGGATGCTCCACACTAAATATGAACCAACTCCTTTTATTCCTACGGAAGAAAATGGAATTTAAAGAATAATTTGTTTCCCCTATTTGACCCCGCCCCTCAGGCCCCTGGGGGCCACACACATGGTTTATACAAAATTGGTCCCCCTTCTCCCAAGGATGCTTCAGACCAAATATGGAACATATTCTTTCATTCCTACAGAAGAAGAAGGATTTTAAAGAATTTGCTATATTTCCCCTATTGGGCCCCGCCCCTCAGCTCCCAGGTGGGCCAGACCCACCATTTTTACAAAATTTGTTTCTCTTCCCCCAATGATGCTTTTGACCAAATTTGGTCAAAATCTGCTCAGTCGTTCATGACTAGTAGCGTTTTAAAGGAAAAGTTGACGGACGAACGGACGGACGACGGACGCTGCGGTATGATATCAATGAGTTCATTATGGTCTACAGTGGGGAAAGGGTTAAAACACTTATTTTTATGTTCATTAGTTTCTCATGATAGTTACGGTTTTTTTTAGCTCACCATGGTCCTTCGGACCTGGTGAGCTTAAAAAAACGTAACTTGCGAAACTATCATGAGAAACTAATGAACATAAAAATAAGTGTTTTAACCCTTTCACCACTGTAGACCATAATGAACTCATTGATATCAATGCATGGTAGAGTCTAATGAAGTAACATAGGGGTGAAAGGGTTAAGAGTTATAATGCAACTAGGGGTTCGGACCCTGGACCTCCAATCACAATGTCGTATCCAAAACGAAAGGTGGAGTTATTGTTTGTATGATAAATGGCAGTGGTCTCCCAATGTTTTACTTACATGGGGACAGTAATCATCAATAAGACATATACATACATACACTTTGTCATGTAAACGAATGAGTGAAGACTGCAATGTCACCCACAATGGTTTATCGCACCTGTTTCTCACTTTCAAAACAAAAAACATTGACTTAATCGACTAGACAGCATCCAAGTTCATGTTGTTGTAAAAAAAACAAAATACGCGCAAACAGAACGTCTTTACCTATTAACTCTTTGTTTACGTCCTGTGACGACCTTGATATGACAAATACTAATTTTCATATATCAATTTTACTTTCCTGTTGACCCTACTTGATCGTACTACCAAGGTTGATAAAGTAGCTAATATATTTTTAAAGATAAATGAAGAATTGATGTAACCATCTAATAATGATTTTGTTTACTCGTTCGGTATCTACAGTTGAATATTTGCAAAATGTTAGATCAATCTTTTTATATATAGGACATGCTCATAAGGTCTAGTCTAGTCATTTTTACATAATGCATGAAACAAATGTATTTTTCACGAGTTACAATGATTGCTATCCATAGAGAGTTTGGAAGGAGTTTTACCCTTCTTTAGCACTACAGTTATATAAGTCTACCAAGCTTAAGTTGAGTTTCTCACGTTTCATTTGTCGTACCTGTTAGCTTAGAATGCCACTTATACCAGATCAATGCATAAATAAACGTGTTTTATGTCCTTTCGCCTTCTTAAGTGGATAATGTTTTTTTCTTTTAAAGATTGTACAATAGGAGTTGGTGAATTAAGTTTTTGCGTTTGATTTGTATACATCGTTATCATTGCTTTCCCACACACAACATTTATCAACCTTCAATGTTTTGATTTTTGAGTAGAGGAGCTCTATCAGCTCCTGTATTGGAAACTAACTTTACTTAAACTTTAATGTTGTGCAATGGGTCTTGGTTTAAACTAATTTAAGTGCAAATTAAATGATACGCTGAATTTTAAAACTTACATATTAAAGTGACACATAAAAGACTTAAAACTTATTATTGTATTATATGTATTTTGAAAAGAAATTGCATGTACGACCAATATTGATGAAAAGCTCATCCCGTTCAATTTTGACTTTGGTCATGTACCATATTTCTGATTTAATCATACAATGCTACTGCTTCGAGATTTACTAATATAATTTTCTATTTGCATCACGGCAATTCAAGGCAATGTCTTTAAATTGAGATATCTTTTAAGAATTATTGGTTACCCAATAATTTCTCAATAAATAATTCAGAATTTTTGGCATTGATACACTTGTAGTATTCACATTTAATATGTACTTGAAAGTTGGTCACATAGATTGTTTTCATGAGTTTCTTGAGCCGGAAGGGGACGAAAATGAGTTTCAATGATTTTGATTTTTTGTGTATGTTTTTAATCTATTTAGATATAAATATTTATCATTTCGGGAGGCAAGGATAAAGTCTGATGCGATTAAGTTGATGTTTGGGATTTTTCTCTCTCGATAAAATGGTTGTACTACTCTTACGATAACATTAATGTTTACAAAATGCTTGCTTGACATAGTCTGCTGCTAAGAGACAAATTAATCATTTATAATATTTATTTAACAAGTTAGCCATTATTGCATTTTTCAAACTTTTTTTTTTTTTAACTTTTCAATATGCCAAAACACATGTTTGTCACAGCTTTTTATCACATACTTCACAGGGTGATCCCATTGTTGCTAGGGAAAAGACAACTCTATCTTACACGGGGTAGGGAAAGACAGCTGACACACGCTATGACGTCATAATAATGGATTGTCAACGTGACGTCATTTTATTGTTTCCGTGATGTCATACAATTGTTGTGAATGGGGAATCATCCGTCTCAACCCTAGGGCTATGGGGTTTGCCGGAAGAATAAGATCGATGCTTATTCCGACTGGAATTTGTTTATTTGTATGCATGTGAGAAAAATAATCAAACATGGGTCTGTTCCATAGACGGGATATCGCAACCCTCGTGTAAGAGTTTGGCTGGCAAGCACTCCGCAAGCCTCGTGCTGACCGGCCAAACTCTTACACTCGGGTTGAGATATCCTTGTCCACTGAACAGACCCATGTAAGATTCTATCATTCCCTACTCAGTTTATTTCCTTCTGGAGACGATAACGTAACTGTACACATTTTTCTGCGGTATGAACGTACACACATTATCGGGTATTTCCGGAATAAAATTACGAGAATCTACGGAAATACCCGAACAAATGTGTAATTGTATTATTGGATAGGTACATGTACATGTAATAGGTACTATCAAGGACAGGTTTGTATTAATTATGTCTCACAACCTATTCTGTAACTATAAAACTAGAACAGTATACTACTGTCTCGTAATTGAACGTAGAACTGAAACTCTTTACTATCAAAACTCTCCAAGCAAATTTGTTAGTCGCCGCCATAGACAAACTCACTCACTCAAAGAAATATTAAAACGTCATTTGCGGGATTAATTTATTAGTGTGGGTACGGAGAATATGTTACTCTTACATTTGTATTAATGGAAAGACGATACTGTTGCTAAGGGGTAGCTTTGGTTAGATAAATCAAATTGCATTTGTTATACCTGCTCTTTTTCAATTTCTTCAACACAGGGTACGCAGGGACTTAATACACAGTGGCATTTAATTTCGCGCTGCAAAGCTCGAGCGCGAAAGTTTTTAAATTAAAAACATCGCGAACATTTAGTGCTATACAGTAAAATACGCGGATACAATGTTTATCCATTCCATATTTGACACTTTGCGTTGCCTTTGTTACTGTTTCATGCTATTTTCTCGTAATACTTAAACAGTCTTTCCTTAACTACTTTAGAAGGAGCTGGGATACCGTACTAACTTCTTACGTAACACGATAACCGCTAACCCCTGCTAGATATATTTAAGGATTCAAATAGTTAATTAAACATATATTTAGAAGAAAGATAAGCACTCCGCCGTTGAATCGTGTGAGTGTGGTTTAATGCAACACTTGACAATGTGCATATCCGTTATCAAATTCCTGGAGACTGTGTCAGTGTTTACTCGAGCTGTACTAGCTATCTGTCTATGGGGGAGGTCACTCGTCTGTTGTGTGTCATAGAAGTCACTGCTCCGACACTTACATACCCTCCTCAATAACATGCCTAGCCCGTCTCATACTGCAAACCTCCCACGCGTAAATTGAACACTGCACGTGAAACTGCAGTTGTGTCGTGTTTCATCTCAACCGTGACTAACGTGTCTACATAGCGAATACAAAATGTCTTATATTCTCCACTCACCAGTACAAACGGGCAAAATTCTCTTTCCGTCGATCATGTGATCACGAAAAAAAAAACTCTTGAGAAAGAAAAAGTAAATCTTTCCTTGCTGGCTTTCTGCGTCTTACTGATACAGAGAACTAGACAAAGAGACGCAGATATAGTGTACGTTCGTTGGACGCTGTGTGTCTCCCTACTCTAGCTCTGAGATCTGGTCCCTGAACGTTGCTTCTACGCTACCAAGTTGGTGACAGAAGACTATTGTGATGTGAAAGACATTGCTATATCTTATTGACAATAATCGGTTTAGCGACATTTTCGGTAACCTTTATACTTGTAACATCGGGGATGCGAGATTCAGTGCTGTTTCTTTGTGTATTGTGTTTAACGGTATCCCAGATCTTGGGAGTGTTTCGGTGTCCTCCCTGCAATAAAAGCCCCCGATGTCCCCACCTCCCGGAGGGATGTGAGAGGGTGACCCTACCTTGCCGATGTTGTGAGGAGTGTGCCAGGCGGATTGGGCAGACTTGCTCTGCCTATAGTCCAAGGTAAGATATTCTTTTACATTTTCCTTTTAAGGCCTGGACACTGTAATTAGACAATTATGTCCCAACAATTTAACGAGATACTTTTAATAATTTTGTTTTTATATAATATGTGTATATTTGATAATGATAGTTACATTAAATCCTAACACGTTACACAATATACTTTTACTAATTTTGTTATTTATACAATATGAGTATATTTGATAATAATGGTTACATTTGCCGACTTTAAAGGGGAACTTCTTGTGGCAGTTTTAAATGTTACTCAAATTGTACAGAATAGTTTTGTATAGAAAATCATTACTGGAGTAGAATGCAGTAAAAGGAACGCTCGTGAAACGGGAACTATCATATGTTAAAGTTTGATATATGTGTGCGCTTCACCTTTTAGTTTATCATCATTTGAAACTAATATCGCAATACACAATCAACTACTTATCTTAGTGTGCTCATTTAAAGGTAAGACATAAACGTAAACTGAATATATTTGCATGTTTAAAAATGTTCATTCGACCGTAATACACATTCTGATTTTACAAATGAATAAATTACATGATTTATTTGAAACCTCTGCCATAAGCTATAAACTAACCATACGTTAACCTTATGGGCCCTGTAATTGTGACATACCGACGTCAGCTTATTATGTTTAAACAAATCGGCATTTAAGCAAAATTAAATTTGTTTTAGAAAAAACGTGAGAAACCTATATGTTCTCCGTTTAAACTGAAGAATTGATATCTGTATATATATATATACGCTTCTTCAATATACCGTATACAAATCTATGGCAAACAACTTTCGTAACATCACTCAAATTGTTATGGCTGGTTAGATCAGTGTTAATTTAGTTAACATCACTTGTTTTGTCAGTAAAGTTATCATGACTTGTCATATCAGTTAAGCTATCATTCCTTTTTATGTATACGGAGTTATCATGACTGTTTATATCATTGACGTTATACTGTGATATCAGGCAAGTTGATATAAATGATTCAGTCAGTAAAGATATTGTAACATACTATCAGTTAATTGATCACACCTTCCGTTATATCAGTAAAGTTATCGTATCCATCAAGTATTTCAGACGATTACATACAGGATATCCTAGTTATGCTGCCGTGACACAATGCAGCCATAGTTATTTGGAACGATAGTGACTAGGTAATGAACAGGAAATTAGCTGGATTATCTGCAAAAAATTAGGCTTATATTCTAGCATTTAGAAAGAAAGTGGCTGGATAATCTACTTGTAATAAAGGTGGTTCGGTTGTCTACTGGATAACTGTAGATAACGCAGGTTCCTTGATTGTCCGAGGAAAACGAAATCGGTTTGATTATCTACAGGGAACAAGAATGGCATATCTGTCTGTAGAGAATGGAAATGACTTAGTTATCTGCAGTGAATGCGGTGACTTTGAATGAAAGTGTTTGGGTAATTTATCAAGAACGAAAGTCGTTCGATTATCTGTGGAGAATGAAGGTAGGTGGATTATCTGTGGAGAATGAAGGTGACTGGATTTTCTCCAACCCTACACAGGTGTGTCTCACGTTTTAGACGGGAAAGATCAGCTTTAGCCTTGTCGCCCCCTAGGGGAGATAGCCTCGTGCCGATTAGCACGTGCTCAATTGTGACGTCATTAAAATGCCCTTCACAGTTGTGTCTCACGTTTTAGCCGGGAAAGATCAGCTTTTCATCCCCTAGGGGAGATAGCCTCGTGCCGATTAGCACGTGTTCAATTGTGACGTCATTAAAATGCGTCACCGGTAATTGTGACGTCATCAAAAATGAGTGACGATATTCATACCCCACATGTGTTTTTGTTTACACTCCTGTCGGTGGTGTTGTGATTGAAATAATAGGATGGGAGAAAAACAATCATTCCCTACCTTGAGGATGTGACAGAGAAATCTCAAACCCTCGGGGTGATTTTTTTGGTTGTCTAACCTTCGGCAGAGCCTCGGGTAAGACAACCAAAAAACATCACCCCGAGGGTAATAGATTTCTGTATCACACCATCAAGGTAGGTGGATTATCTGTGGAGAATGAAGGTAGGTGGATTATCTGATGAGAATGAAGGTGACTGTATCATCTAATGAGAATGAAGGTCACTGGATTATCTGATGAGAATCAAGGTAGGTGGATTATCTGTGGAGAATGAAGGTAGGTGGATTAGCTGATGAGAATGAAGGTGACTGGCTTATCTGATGAGAATGAAGGTAGGTGTATTATCTGATGAGAATGAAGGTGATTGGATCATCTGATGAGAATGAAGGTGACTGGATTAGCTGATGAGAATGAAGGTGACTGGCTTATCTGATGAGAATGAAGGTAGGTGTATTATCTGATGAGAATGAAGGTGAATGGATCATCTGATGAGAATGAAGGTGACTGGATCATCTGATGAGAATGAAGGGGACTGGATTATCTAATGAGAATGAAGGTGACTGGATCATCTGATGAGAATGAAGGCGACTGGCTTATCTGATGAGAATGAAGGTAGGTGTATTATCTGATGAGAATGAAGGCGACTGGATTATCTGATGAGAATAAAGGTGATTGGATCATCTGATGATAATGAAGGTGACTGGATTATCTAATGAGAATGAAGGTGACTGGATTATCTAATGAGAATGAAGGTGACTGTATCATGTAATGAGGATGCAGGTGACTGTATTATCTGATGAGAATGAAGGAGATTGGATCATCTGATGAGAATGAAGGTGACGGGATTATTTGATGAGAATGAAGGTGACTGGATCATCTGATGAGAATGAAGGTGACTGGCTTATCTGATGAGAATGAAGGTAGGTGTATTATCTGATGAGAATGAAGGGGACTGGATTATCTGATGAGAATGAAGGGGACTGGATTATCTAATGAGAATGAAGGTGACTGTATCATGTAATGAGGATGCAGGTGACTGTATTATCTGATGAGAATGAAGGTAGGTTGATTATCTGATGAGAATGAAGGTAGGGGGATTATCTGATGAGAATGAAGGAGATTGGATCATCTGATGAGAATGAAGGTGACTGGATTATCTTATGAGAATGAAGGTGATTGGATCATCTGATGAGAATGAAGGTGACTGGCTTATCTGATGAGAATGAAGGTTGCTGAAGTATCCGTGGAAATCGTAGTTTGCTGGAATATCCATGGAGAATAAAGAAGGCTTGATAACAAAGGCTTATCTGTAGGCTTTACATGTGTTGTCACCGAATAAGTTCTACTTTCCTTCTTATTTATTTCATTTAAACTCAGGTAGACTTTTGAAATTACTATCAATAGTTTCAAGATATCTGGTTGAAATGATTGAAATATCTGTTTAATATAGAAATACAGTAACGCATTATCATTCTTTTAAGAACTTCGGGGATTTATGACAATAGCAATATAACCTTATACACACACATTGTATACAACAGGCTCTCTATGCATAAGTAGAAGCTGACAAACAAAGATATGCTACCTACTACGTAAGCATCTGTGATTTTAAACAGCCGATGTTCAAATTACCGCTGTTGTGAAGACCGATATCGCACGCTTTGTGAAGTATTTAAACTTGATATTAATTATGGGTGTAGTCTACAACTTTCCATATATAAACCTTTTAATTTTTATTCCAGTATAAATGTCATTTATGTGTAAAGGGAGCCGGCACAGTGCTCCGTGGACATAAAAACCCTCTTAACTGTGCAATCGTAGGCATGGGGTGCGTGTTCTAAAGTAAGTGTACCTGTCAATGTTTGGAATGCACGTTCCACGTCCTCTTTCGAGACGTCGATTGTGGGACGCGATACTTTACCATCTGTGGTCAGACAAGTTATTTGGTTGGCATGACCGAGTTTTCTTTTGTCGGTCACTCCGTACAAACCCAATATCTGTGTTTACGTCAGACTGCATGACTAATGCATCCTTAATGGTAGGTGACTTATACTTGATATTTATTCATGTCTGAAGAATTAAAAGTTTAAGGTTCTCTCAAAGTTACGCCTTGCTGGAGTAAGGAATGCGTTCTGGTCGACTTTTTGTTGTTAGGTTATGATTGCTGGCTTTCAATGTAGGGTTGTGTTAGCTGGTTTTAGATTGAAATTAGATTCACTTACTGCAAATACAGTTACATTGTATATGCATTTTTGTACTTGAATTTGAAAATATTTTTCCATTCGTTCAAAAGAAAATAAATTATGTTTTTCTCATTGAATGAAGGGCATGATACACAAAATGCTTTATTTTTCGAGTTAAGGTTCACATGAATCATATTAATTTTGTTACTGTCTCTGAAATATTTGAATATAGGGAATATGCATAAAAATGCTTGAACATTTAAAATCGTTTTAGTTTTCCATTTCCATTTGATTGATCGTTGCTGCTATTGAAAAGAGAATTGAGATCTCCTGTTTGTTAGATATTTGTATAGATCTAATTCCTATATTTTTATTGTACTTGCGCGATTTGGGAAGAAAATGAAACGTTGATAGGCTGTTTACTTACTGTACGAGTCGGCATAACGACATTGGAGTACAATAGGCCTATCATATTACTGAACTGTTTGCCTAAATATTATGTGAGAGGATTTATTAAGTTTGTGGAAACAAAAAAAAGGTATATTGAATGAAAATGAAGCCGGATTCATGCCAACTAATTTAACATTAGAAAAAAATTATTAGGTTCCTTATTTCATCCTTGTTTAAGTTTTAATACGTATAGCTGTTTTTGATAAAGAAAGGAAAGCATGTTTTATGGTACAAATTATCTCTATCAATTAAATTGATGTTGCAAAGAATGATTATGGTAAAAGTCATTTAAGTTTTCGCAACAGTGATATTATTAATTTTCCCATGGAAGAAGTTCTCTCTATTTTTGAATGATTCAGAAGATTTCAAACTGAAAAAACTATCTTTTAATTAGTTTGAAAATGATTTTAATATCTACTTTAAGCTTCCGTTGATTGTATACGGATACTAAAGTTTCTTTATCTAAGTCTTCTCAAATCCTCCTAGATAACCTTTTGCTTATAAGACACATGGTGCTATTTCACCTTCACGATTACATACGTTTCCGTTGTTTCCTTTGTAATGTGCCTGTGTGATTTGAGGAGAATCGGCATTACTTCCTTTTGTTAAATAAGCGTGCGAAATGGAAATTTTGTTTTTATCATTTGTTTGATAACCCAACGGAGCGGTATCACTTTCATTTATTTGATAGCAAAACGGAGCGTTTATCATTTTTATTTGTCTGATAACCCAACGGAGCGGTATCACTTTCATTAGTTCGATAACCCAATGGAGCGGTATCACTTTCGTTTTGTTTGATGACCTAACGGAGCGGTATCATTTTCATTTGTTTGATAACCCAACGGAGCGGTATCACTTTCATTTGTTTGATAACCCAACGGAGCGGTATCACTTTCATTAGTTCGATAACCCAATGGAGCGGTATCACTTTCGTTTTGTTTGATGACCTAACGGAGCGGTATTATTTTTATTTATTTGATAACCCAACGGAGCGGTATCACTTTCATTTGTTTTATAACCCAACGGAGCGGTATCACTTTCATTTGTTTGATAACCCAACGGAGCGGTATCATTTTCATTTGTTTGATTACCCAACGGAGCGGTATCACTTTCATTTGTTTAATAGCCCAACGGAGCGGTATCACTTTCATTTGTTTGATAACCCAACGGAGCGGTAACACTTTCATTTGTTTGAAAGCGTATACGTACGAATCGCCACAACTTTTCTATGTTTTATTAGTTTACAAGTCGGCATTACTTTTATGTTTGATTTGCATGTTTTCATGCAGGGTTATTTACACGTATTTATTTCTGTTAAGACTTTTGCGTGTCCACTGTAACATGTATTTTGAAGATTCTTATCTCGTGTTTTCTCTGTGTTCAATGTATTTCGACACACATGATCCACGCTTTTACTAACGGGAACCTTTGATATATTTTAATATTTAAATAGTAAAAAAAACTGTACAAAAATAACAAATGTAAATACAATATTTGATGAGTTGTAATAAAGACAAATTACTTGTATATCTAAAATATAAAAAATGACGTTACAACTAGATGTGTTAGTTAACTCTCAATAAGCCGTTCATCACCCGGTAAATCTGATGTATTTTAGCGTTAAAATAACTCCAGTTACAAAAACTTTATTTTCATTAACCATTCGTTTTGGAACCTCTATCTAAATTATACATAACGTCAGCCTTTATTTTAATTTTTTAATTAATTTTGTATTTGACGTCAGCCTTTAATGGTTCAGATCAAAGTACTGCTTTACAGTACTGTTTATTCACATAATAAGATACTAGAATCTAGTGGCTCTGATCTTCAAGTAATGACAATACCGATATCTGTGAACAGGAAATCATCCTCGGTATATATTGCATGCTGGTTTTTGTCATGTTTTTTCTCTAAATGTTTTCTACAAAAGTTCACAACCATAAACTTGTATCGCCAAACAAAACGAACTTTTGAGTTAAAGTGAAGTAGAAAAAATATACAACAGTATCAATAAACAACAGAAAATATTAACTACAATTCGACACTTGAGGGCAAAAGAAGATGAAACGAAAAAAAGTTAAAAAAGTAAAAAATAAATAAATATGAAAAGTAGTTCATTTGACATCCTATTATTCTTCCAACTTACATATATAGGTAAAAGCAACATTACAATTTCTTATGATTGAATTAGTTTGTAGTACTCGTGTATATATATATATATATCTGAACTGTTATTTGGACACTGTGATAGTAAAGCTACTTTGTTTTCTTTGAAAGTATATATTTAACTACAGAAGCTTACCTGACTCCTTCAATTTTTATTGAAACTTTATGAACAGGCCCAAACGGATTTCCGGATAAGTCATTGTTGACATTAGATTGGTTACTCTGTATCACATATCCGATATCAAACATTTAAAAATGTCTTATTTGAAAATAGTAACACATAAAAATAATTTTAGAAAACGGGAATCGCACATGTAGCATCCAGTAATACAAAAATGATATAAAATACTTTTCAGTATTATATAAATCTAGTGTTTAGTAACACGAGTACGTCCAGTGAGGCAAGTACAACGCCATATACTATATAGTATACAATCGTTGGCTGATATTGTGAACTGTAGAAGGAGAAATGATAAAAAATCAAAGAGTTATCTCGTAAACGACACAATGGACAATTAGGGACATTCTGATGTAAGGCTATTACATAACTGCATGCAGTCGAACGACCACCTTTGACTAGTGCTAAACGCTCTCTCTGAATGATTGTGGTGGGCTGGTGAGTATGTTCCAAATGTACTGTATCTCATGATTGATCTCCTTGTATTTGTAGATGTGCCGCGGGACTAATGTGCATGAACAGGCGAGGAGAGGCTCTGGAGCGGGTCCCCCGGATCATGAAAACCTACCACGGGATCTGCCAGAATGTGTAAGCTCTTAAGCAGACGTCCAGATCTATGCAACTCAATATTGGCATTGTGTATCATATGATATGTTGTTTTGGCAAGTTATTACCACCACCTGTTACGATGTCAATATCATTTTTGTCGTACGTCTAGACAGAATGACCTCGTGAGCATTTCCTCAAACCCCCTGGGAGCAAAACCAGTCAGGATATATCAACGTTTTTCCCCCAAAAAGCAACTATCGTATTACTCTAGTTTATATATTGTAAAACCATTCAATATAAAACACTAGTCTGGCATAACAAAGATCATATCAACGAAGCTTAGAATGACAGATCATATAACTCCAGTTTAGTTAATGTAAAGATTATATATCTCCAGTTTAGTTAATGTAAAGATTATATATCTCCAGTTTAGTTAATGTAAAGATCATATAACTCCAGTTTAGTTAATGTAAAGATTATATAACTCCAGTTTAGTTAATGTAAAGATCATATAACTCCAGTTAAGTTAATGTAAAGATTATATATCTCCAGTTTAGTTAATGTAAAGATCATATAACTCAAGTTTAGTTAATGTAAAGATCATATAACTCCAGTTTAATTAATGTAAAGATTATATATCTCCAGTTTAGTTAATGTAAAGATTATATATCTCCAGTTTAGTTAATGTAAAGATCATATAACTTCAGTTTAGTTAATGTAAAGATCATATAACTCCAGTTTAGTTAATGTAAAGATTATATAACTCCAGTTTAGTTAATGTAAAGATTATATATCTCCAGTTTAGTTAATGTAAAGATTATATATCTCCAGTTTAGTTAATGTAAAGATTATATATCTCCAGTTTAGTTAATGTAAAGATTATATATCTCCAGTTTAGTTAATGTAAAGATTATATATCTCCAGTTTAGTTAATGTAAAGATTATATATCTCCAGTTTAGTTAATGTAAAGATTATATATCTCCAGTTTAGTTAATGTAAAGATTATATATCTCCAGTTCAAATAACGTGACAAAGGTTATATCACTCAAGTTAAATAAATGTGACAAGTATCATGTTATAAATAACTCAAGTTTAATTAAAGTGATAAATATCACACCTAAATGTTCAAGTTTAAATTTACAAATATCATATGACTTCATTTTATTATGACAAAAATCACACTTCTCCAGTTTGATAAACGTGACAAATATCATGTAACTACAGTTTAATGTGACAAAGATAATGTTCTCCAATTTCAATGGTGTGATAAAGCTTATATTTCTTCAGTTTATTATTGAAAAAAATGCAATGGCAAATATCCCATTGCTGTGTTTTAATGTGAAAAAGGTTACATTACTTCATTTTTATGTAACAAAGAGAATATTACTCCAGTTTAGTATGACAAAGTCACATTATATTAGATTAATGTGACAAAGCCGTTATTCCATATTATATGTTTTGAAATGACATGTGGATAACATATAGTATAATTATATAACAAAATGGTAATGAATCGTATAAACATCCTTTTTACACGGTTGTATATTTGTTAATGTATATCAATGACAGTCGTTACTGTGATATGTATTATACATATATGAAGGCTTGGTGAAGGATGATGCAAAAAATATTGCTGTTTTTGCCTTTTACCTGAAAATTCTTCACCAAAAAATAGTAAAAATATGTCCAAGAAAATTGCCGTCCATCAATAAAACAGCTTTTTAACATGGTGTTGTATTTATTGACGTGGCATTTTTTATGGAATGATGGCGATATTTTGACATTAGTGCTTAACTCAGAATATATCCCTGTGGAATGATGGCGATATTTTCTTTACATTAGTGCTGAACTTAAAATATATCCCTATGGAATGATGGCGATATTTTGACATTAGTGCTGAACTCAGAACATATCCCTCTAACATAGGGGGAAGGGCTCTCTGATAATGTAACGGCTGCTATCTAAATTATGTGACGGGCCTCACCACTCATGATGTAACAGCGTAGACCGCGTAACAAAAAAGGGCCTTCTAATTAACCATTCTGTCGCACTTTATTCACATCATGTGAGAATCAGACATACAGCTAAGGCACAAAGCGAACAGTTTGTGTCTATTTCCTGTGCATCAAGATCTTATCATACCATGCTGGAAAAAAAGAAAATGTGCTGGCACTTTCCTATGTTGACTTTTATAAGTAACCCTAATGTTTTATGGTAGTTAGAAAGTAATCTGTAAAATAATCTTACAGTAGATATAATTATGAGCGCATACAAAGAACTGTGTAATCTTTGTTGTTCTGTTTTAGAAACGTTGTCCAAGATATAGTGCCAACATGTTGCTATTGCTTGTTAACAGAACCATTTTTCAAAGCCTATTCAAGTTGAAAATGTTAACTTTCAAACAAATCTATTATCAGAAAATAACCTGCTTCATTACGAGTTCCGACAATTCGTTTTATCTTAAAGAACACATTTTCTTTTATTATCATTTATGAAGTCGTGGTGTTTTAAAAGGGTATCTCGGAACATATACTTCATAAACTATTATAACATTTACCAGACTGCGAATAAGTTCTCGGAATGCAAAGACATAACTTTACTTTATCAATTTGTAATTAGCCAATACTATTTCTAGTTTTTGAAATTCGCATGAATAAGGGGTTTTACGGACCTTCCCTTCCTTTTCAAGACCAATTTGAGTTCCCACTTTTTGGCCCCTTGCATCATTGATACAAAGTAAAGATGAAACCGTTATATTGCGCAGTGTAATTCATTCTAGACAAACTTGTATCTATTACCAAGTACTAAGTGCATCACCTGCATGTGTCTAAAGTTAATCATTCATGCTCTTAAACTATGACTGTACCTACTTTACTCTGAATGCATAATCACTGTTAAACATATTCCAATGAAGACCTGATTTTACAATCAATATTTGAAAACAAAAATGTTTGTTTCGTGGAAATGTTCTCCATTGCGGTAATATTCCTTATTACATGGCATTCTGTTATCCTGATCTTAAAGTCATGACTGATTCTAATTTGTAACTCGAATCTAACTTATATGTGTTGACTGTTTCAGAGTGGTACAACCCGTCGTCATGGAAAACACGGACATCGAGGAGAGAAGGATAGGATCGAAACACTACAAGCATAGAGTGTGAATCCTCGCCGCCATCTTTGTTTCACGTGAATCCTTGCCGCCATAGTAACTTCACGTAGACTCTTCATAAAACAGCATTTGTTTCACCTGCTCGTTAATTGATTGTTAGTTACACAACCCAGTGTTCCACACCAATTACATATTTCCCATACTCTTTAGTGACAACACATTGTACAAAGAATAACACATAACATTTTTAACTGAAACTATCCTCTTCTGGTTACCGTACTGTCGTGAAATTCAGAAGGCTTATTTCAATTAACGCAGTTTTATCCTCCTGTAAATAAATCATTAAAAACAACAAATATATTACTTTAAAATGCATGAAATCAAATCTGTATACAAGGTTTGGGTTAACTGCTTCATGTCTTCGTTAGCCTGTTTGACACACGACCGTACAAGTCGTTCCGGTACTTTATTTCACCCGCCTATTATCTTATTTACGTCCTAATACCTTGGTGTTATGAGGTTAATCTCAATGTAAGTTGGGGAGAAGAAGATATTCCTAAAACTACTGAAACCAGTTAGTTTAAGAAACTTTCGCAGGTTTAAAAGTTGACCTGGACCAGTTCATTCCTCTTGGAACTGTGTATGTACACACGATTTCTATAACTTGCAGAGACAGAAAGTTCGTTATCATGAATTCACTAGAAGACGGTATAGTAGAGCTTGCTTCGTGTTATTTTATATTCACACTTGTACACACTTTTGTACATCAGAACTGTAGTCAACATGAGTTAATGGTCAGTTTGTTGTAATACATGCATTGTATCGGAGCCGTAGTGTATTGCACGCTAAAGTTCACGTTGCTGTAATAAATACTGTTATCATTCCAATAATCAATATTGTGTTGTTCGTTTTATATTATTCGAATGATTGAATTTAAGGTATCGAATTATAGTAATAAAACACATTCTCATGATTTCATCAATAGCCCTTTTTTCTTGCGCGGATGTATATATATCTACACATATGTTCTGTTCGATTGTGGATATATTCGTACGCAAAATGTATTGGCACTGGTACCATTTGTGTCGTCAAAACAGAAGTTTGTATGATATTTCCCAATCATCACATTATCATCATTGAACACAGCGAGGGAATCATCAACATAAAACTATCACCTCAGAATATTATCCATTGTGACATAAGATTGAAATATCGAAGCATTGTGAGTAAAGTTTTGACAATGAAGGACATGACGTCAAGATGGCGAATTTCAAAGCTAACTGATAGTAAGAGAAAACATATTATCGAAAAGAAAATGCTGGTTATGTGATAAAAAATAAACCTCGCCTTATAGCATATTTAAGACTCGTTTCATATGGTATCGCGTAAAACCCCTTTATCATAGCCCAAAACTGTGGTATCGCGATAAACACATTATTATAGCCCAAAACTGTGGTATCGAGTGAAATACCCTTTATCGTAGCCAAAAACTGCCAAAAAACGTAAAACCTTTCATCATAGCCACAAATATGTGGTATCAATTAAAACCCTCAATCATAGCCTCAAGCTGTGGTATCACGTAAAAACCTTTATCATAGCCATAAGCTGTGATGTCACGTAAAACCCTTATCATAGCCACAAGCTGTGTTATCACGTACAATCCTTTATCATAGCCACAAGTTGTGATGTTCCGTAAAATCCTTATCATGGCCTCAAGCTGTGATGTCACGTAAAACTCTAATCATAGCCACAAGCTGTGGTGTCAAGTAAAACCCTTAATCATAGCAACAGGCTGTGATATCACGTAAAACCCTTATCATTGCCACAAGCTGTGGTGTCAAGTAAAACTCTTAATCATAGCCACAAGCTGTGGTATCACGTAAAACACTTTATCATAGCCTCAAGCTGTGATGTAACGTAAACCCTTTATCATAGCCACACACTGTGGTATCACGTAAAACCCTTTATCATAGCCAAAAGCTGTGATGTCACGTAAAACACTTTATCATAGCCACAAGCTGTGATATCACGTAAAACCATTTATCATAGCAACAAGCTGTGGTATCACGTTAAACTCTTTATCATAGCCAGAAGGTGTGGTATCACGTTAAACTCTTTATCATAGCCAGAAGGTGTGGTATCACGATAAACCCTTTATCATAGCCACAAGCTGTGTTATCACGTTAAACCCTTTATCACAGTCACAAGCTGTGATGTCACGTAAAACACTTTATCACAGTCACAAGCTGTGGTATCACGTAAACCCTTTATCATAGCCACAAGCTGTGATGTCACGTAAACCCTTTATCATAGCCACAAGCTGTGATGTCACGTTAAACCCTTTATCATAGCCACAAACTGTGATATCACGTAAACACTTTATCATAGCCAGAAGCTGTGGTATCATGTAAAACCCTGTATCATAGCCTCAAGCTGTGATGTCACGTAAACCCTGTATCATAGCCTCAAGCTGTGATGTCACGTAAACCCTTTATCATAGCCACAAGCTGTGATGTCACGTAAACCCTTTATCATAGCCACAAGCTGTGATGTCACGTAAACCCTTTATCATAGCCACAAGCTGTGATGTCACGTAAACCCTTTATCATAGTCACAAGCTGTGATGTCACGTTAAACCCTTTATCATAGTCACAAGCTGTGATGTCACGTAAAACCCTTTATCATAGCCACAAGCTGTGATGTCACGTAAACCCTTTATCATAGCCTCAAGCTGTGATGTCACGTAAAACCCTGTATCATAGCCTCAAGCTGTGATGTCACGTTAAACCCTTTATCATAGCCACAAGCTGTGATGTCACGTAAAACACTTTATCATAGCCACAAGCTGTGATATCACGTAAAACCATTTATCATAGCAACAAGCTGTGGTATCACGTTAAACTCTTTATCATAGCCAGAAGCTGTGGTATCACGTTAAACTCTTTATCATAGCCAGAAGCTGTGGTATCACGATAAACCCTTTATCATAGCCACAAGCTGTGTTATCACGTTAAACCCTTTATCAAAGTCACAAGCTGTGATGTCACGTAAAAGCCTTTATCATAGCCACAAGTTGTGATGTCACGTAAACCCTTTATCATAGCCACAAGCTGTGATGTCACGTAAAACCCTTTATCATAGCAACAAATTGTGATATCACGTAAACACTTTATCATAGCCAGAAGCTGTGGTATCAAGTTAAACCCTTTATCATAGCCTCAAGCTGTGATGTCACGTAAAACCCTTTATCATAGCCACAAGCTGTGGTGTCACGTAAAACCCTTTATCATAGCCACAAGCTGTGATGTCATGTAACACCCTTTATCATTGCCACAAGCTGTGGTATCATGTAAAACACTTTATCATAGGCACAAGCTGAGGTATCACGTAAAACCCTTTACCATAGCCTCAAACTGTGGTATCACGTAAACCCTTTATCATATCCACAAGCTGTGGTTTCACATAAACCCTTTATATAAGCTGTAGTATCATGTAAACCCTTTATCATAGCATCAAGCTGTGGTATCACGTAAACTCTTTATCATAGCATCAAGCTGTGATGTCTCGTAAAACCCTTTATCATAGCCACAAGCTGTGGTATCATGCAAACCCTTTATCATAGCCACAAGCTGTGATGTCACGTCAACCCTTTATCATAGCCACAAGCTGTGGTATCACGTAAACCCTTTATTTTAGCTGTGGTATCATGTAAACCCTTTGCCATAGCCTCAAGCTGTGATGTCTCGTAAAGCCCTTAATCATAGCCACAAGCTGGGATGTCACGTAAACCCTTTACCATAGCCTCAAGCTGGGATGGCACGTAAAACCCTTTACCATAGCCACAAGCTGTGATGTCTCGTAAAACCCTTTATCATAGCCACCAGCTGGGATGTCATGTCAACCCTTTATCATAGCCACAAGCTGTGGTATCACGTAAAACCCTTTATCATAGCCACTAGCTCTGTTATCACGTAAAACCCTGTATCATAGCCACACGCTGTGATGTCACGTAAACCCTTTATCATAGCCTCAAGCTGTGGTATCACATTAAACCCTTTATCATAGCCACAAGCTGTGATGTCACGTAAAACCCTTTATCATAACTTCAAGCTGTAATGTCACGTTAAACCCTTTATCATAGCCAGAAGCTGTGATGTAATGTAAAAAAAACTTTATCATAGCCCCACGCTGTGTTATTACGTAAACCCTTTATATAAACTGTGGTATCATATTAAACCCTTTATCATAGCCTCAAGCTGTGATGTCACGTAAAACCCTTTATCATAGCCTCAAGCTGTGATGTCACGTAAAACCATTGATCATAGCCACAAGCTGTGGTATCATGTAAAACCCTTTTTCATAGTCACAAGCTGTGGTATTACGTAAACCCTTTACCATAGCCACAAACTGTGATGTCACGTAAAACCCTTTATCATAGCCACAACCTGTGGTATCACGTAAACCCTTTATCATAGCCTCAAGCTTTGATGTCTCGTAAAACCCTTTATCATAGCCACAAGCTGTGATGTCACGTTAAACCTTTTATCATAGCCTCAAGCTGTGATGTCACGTTAAACCCTTTATATAAATTGTGGTATTACGTAAACCTTTTACAGTAGCCACAAGCTGTGATGTCACGTAAAACCCTGTATCATAGCCTCAAGCTGTGGTATCATGTAAAACCCTTTATCATATCCTCAAGCTGTGATGTCACGTAAAACCCTTTATATAAGCTGTGGTATCATGTAAACCCTTTATCATAGCCTCAAGCTGTGAGATCACGTAAACACTTTATCATAGGGATGTCATGTCAACCCTTTATCATAGCCACCAGCTGTGATGTCATGTCAACCCTTTATCATAGCCACAAGGTGTGATGTCACGTCAACCTTTTATCATAGCCACAAGCTTTGGTATCACGTAAAACCCTTTATATAAGCTGTGGTATCACGTCAGCCCTTTATATAAGCTGTGGTATCACGTCAGCCCTTTATATAAGCTGTGGTATCATGTAACCCCTTTATCATAGCCTCAAGCTGTGGTATCACGTAAACTCTTTATCATAGCCTCAAGCTGTGGTATCACATTAAACCCTTTATCATAGCACCAAGCTGTGATGTCACGTAAAACCCTGAATCATAGCCTCAAGCTGTGGTATCATGTAAAACCCTTTTTCATAGCAACAAGCTGTGATGTCATGTAAAACCCTTTATCATAGCCCCAAGCTGTGATGTCACGTAAAACACTTTATCATAGCCTCAAGCTGTGGTATCATGTAAAACCCTTTTTCATAGCAACAAGCTGTGATGTCATGTAAAACCCTTTATCATAGCCACATGGTATTACGTAAACCTTTTACAGTAGCCACAAGCTGTGATGTCATGTAAAACCCTTTATCATAGCCCCACGCTGTGGTATCACGTAAACCATTTATATAAACTGTGGAATTACATTAAACCCTTAATCATAGCCACAAGCTGTGATGTCACCTAAAACCCTTTATCATAGCCCCACGCTGTGTTATTACGTAAACCCTTTATATAAACTGTATGTCACGTAAAACCCTTTATCAGAGCCACAGGCTGTGATATCACGTAAACCCTTTATCATAGCCAGAAGCTCTGATGTACTGTAAAACCCTTTATCATAGCCCCACGCTGTGGTATCACGTAAACCTTTATATAAACTGTGGTATTACCTTAAACCCTTTATCATAGCCACAACCTGTGGTATCACGTAAACCCTTTATTTAAACTGTGGTATTACATTAAACATTTTATCATAGCCACAAGCTGTGATGTCATGTAGAACCCTGTATCATAGCCTCAAGCTGTGGTATCATGTAAAACCCTTTATCATATCCTCAAGCTGTGATGTCACGTAACCCCTTTATC